CAACAACATAAAAGCAGAGGGTTGCTGAAGGACCCAATAATACTGAGTGCCATAAGGCTAAAAAAGTGGTTGATGGATCTCTGTCACCAGCTGTTGGATAATGGTCATGGGGAAAGACACATCATTTGTTGAAGATTCTCCCACCACGCAGAGGAGGAGCTGGGAGTCACCATGAACAGTTTGGGAATAGAGCTCATCATGGAGCTTGGGCAGGACAGGAATGAAGAACAAACCAGAAGACCTCTTTATACCACCAGTGGAGATGTATCTTAAACACTGCGCAGGGTTCTGGTCACCACATCTCAATAAAGAGACACTGAAACTAGTAACAGGTTAGTCACAGGAGATGAGTCTGGACTAGTTCAGCCTGGTAGGAAATAGGAGCCTGATGGGGCTCAAAGGGAATGTAACATCTTGAGGGGCTCAACAAGGACAGCTCCTCACTTTTCCTACTCTGCATGGACTAGGAGACCATGAAACAAAGGAGCTTAGGACAGCAAGGGAAGCAGTTCACGTGGTGCATAGTTAAACCAGACTTCACCCCTACGCAGTAACAGAGGTCAACCACCACAGATACAGCTATGGGAGGAAAGATCTACCAAGAATGATGGAACACATGAAAAAATCCAACACAAAGCTCAATGAGTCCCTTTGCTGTAAACTGCCTGGCACCAACAGCATCGGATGGTCCATACGTGCTGTCCCAAGCATCTGCCACTGGCAGAGCCGTCCTAGGAGATGAGGTGTCCTCTGGCTTGTGGCAGGCCAGCAAGTTTTATCTTCTGAATGGGGTTAGTGTGTTATTTGAGGATATCCTGCTGCTGGAGCCCCCCACCAGCCCCAGTGTGCTCCCAGTAGCAAGGCCACCTCACCTGCCTGCGGCTCCCGGAGGGTCTCCAGCTCCTCTCCCACCAGCTGCTGCACGGAGAGCTCGAACCCGCTCTCGGAATCGCGGTCCTCTGCCTCGCTCTCACCGTGCCCGCTGTCCTTCGTGCTCAGGCAGTCAGCATCCAGCCCTGCAGCCCTGCCAGGGGGCCGAACACTCCAGTCACACTTCAACCCTCAGCATGACCCTGCCCCACTGATGACTTTCAAGGTGGTTGTCTTCAGCCCACATAACATGACCCAGAGGTGAGGTATGGGCATCCTCCCAGTGCACCGTTCACAGCACCAAAGGCATAACCATTTTAGTCCCCACCGATTAATGAGTTTTATGTTGTTTTTTTTTAAAAAACAAAACAAAACAAACACAAACACCTGAACAAAAGCACTGGGATCAGGAGTGTTCCGGACCCTCTGAAAACTGAGTGTGGGATACACATTGGGCTGCTCCACATTTCTGGCCTGAAAGGGTTTTTATCCTTCTGCAGGGAGATCCTGAGCAAACAGGGAGCTGCTAGGTCTTCCTCATGAATTGAGAGAAGCTGCCCATGTGCAGGACCAGGTGAGGGGCTTCGCAGCCCAGCCCTGCCCCAGCAGCCCCAGAACAGCTTTCCCTCCCTCTCCATCCTCAGCAGATGGAGATGATGAGGAGAAAGGTGGAGAAAGCTGTGTCTGCCCATGGCTTGGGCAGGTGGGGACAGGGGGGACATGGTGAGGCAGCGATGAAGCCCTGGCATCCTCAAGAGCATTCAACTCAGAGATGTCAACAGCATAATATAATGGGAACACCATAAAGTTTGTCTCTGGGATCATCTTCAGCACACAGCTGGGATCTCAGTCTGTCCTATCCCTGCTGGCAGCATCTCCCTCACTAACCTCCTGGCCCAGGGACAGGTGTCCTGAATTCATGTCAACAGCCAAGAGCATCTCTAAGAAAGTACCCAGAGCCATGAGGAAACTCGTCCTTTTGCTGCTGCCTCCAAAGCTGGGACCCTCTGTGCTCACAAGGTCACCTTTCATCGCACCTGAACACATCGGTGTCCCACTAGCAAGGACAGGCAGGTGGTTCATGGCTGTGAGGGAGCTCAGGTAGGTATGGAAGGAGCTACTAAAGGTGCCCCAGGGAGGAGGCAAAGAGCAGCCCTAGGAGGTAGTTGGGTACCAACAGGGAGACAGGACCAGAGGAGCACAGCCATCCCCTGAAGGGAGGACCTACCTCCCTAAATTCAGGTCAGCAAAACTGAGGATGAGATTTTCACCTTGTGTGTCTGCTGCCCTGGTGCCTCCTGCCCTTGGAGGCTCTTGGGGCCAGCGGGACTGGAGCGGAGGCAGCAGAGACGCAGGGGAAGGGAAGGGCTGAGAGCCAGCCTTCCCTGCTGCCGTTCTTGGCCGTGTACTTGTTTCCCCTGTGGTTGGTCCTGGGCTGGAACTGGCCCTGGTGCAGCAGGGAGAGCAGCTGGGAGATTTGCTGTAAGGCAGGAAAAGCCTGTTGAGCCCCGGCGGTGGCCACTCAAGCTGCTTCCTGCCAGGACGTCCCCTCCGAACCCCCCCCCTCACCCTGGCCTTTTTATAGCGTTTCCTCCTCCTGCAGATGGTTCAGCATCCCCACACCGGGGGGGAACAAGCAGCCAGGCAGCCCACCTGGCCCCCGGGCTTCCCCTGCACCATCTCGGCCCACCAGTCTCTGCTCACACACTCCCCTGCAAAAGTGAGCATGGGGATGTCCCCTTCCCTGTGTGATGGCCACCCCAGCTCCCAGGGCATCCCGGTGGGCATGGGGAGACCCTCCCCCTGCTGAGGTGGCTGTTCATCCAACCCAGCTCCTACTCCTGGGGCACCTCTGCCCAGGGCTGGGAGAAGACACCAACCAAAGACCATCAGGTTGCACACTCCCACCACCCCAGGGTGTGCCAGACCTGGGTGAGGAAGGATTTGGGAGGGTGGGGAGGAGGCTCCTACCTGCACCGGAGGCGATTCCATCGCGAACTCTCCAGTGGGACTCTGCTCCGCCAGTGCCACCAGTGACAGACGGACCAGGCTCCTGAGGATGTGCTGGTGGGGCTGGGAATGCTCAGGTCCCCCAGCACCCAAAGGCTGGTTGGGTGGCAGTGGGGGCTCTCCCACGGACCCCTGCGGTGGCTTCACCAAGCTCTTGCAGTGCGGTGGTGCATCCGGGGGGCTCGCAGCCTCTTTCGCCGAATTTTTTGGTCTGTGGGGCTGGCAGGGCCAGCGCTGCAGGATGGGGAGGTTGAAGGTCTCCTGCTGCTCATCTGGGTCCTTTTGGGTCCTCTGATTTCTCAGGGTCCTGTAGAGAGTGGGGGTGAGGTGGAGGGGAGCCTGAGGGGAACCCCCCAGAATGGGGGCAGCTGTGCCGGGCACATCCTCCTGGCAGGGACGGGGGGCCTCAGCCTCCCGGGGCCGGCCCCGGAGCAGTGGGACAAGGTGGATATCCGTCTTCTGGATCTGCCTATGCGGCTTCTTGAGCTGCTGCTGCCTGCGGGCATCCTCTGCCTCCCTGCAGTTGTAGGCCATGCCGTCCTTCTTCTCCTTCTTACGCAAAGACAGGGTTAAAACCAAAAGAAGAAGGCACCCACCCAGGAGAGTGGCCAGGCAGATAACGGCCACCACAGAGGGGCTCAGCCACCCAGGATCCTGGGCCAAGATTTTGGAGAACGCCCCATGATGCCGGAAAACTAAGCGGACCCGAGCCAGGGTGTGCAGGGGGACGGCCCCTCCGTCGCTCACCCGGACCACCAGCTCCCGCTCGCTGCCAGCAAGGCTGCTGGCGTTGGCGGCGGTGAGGAAGACCTGCCCCAAGAGAGGGTCCAGGATGAAGAGCCCAGCATCATCCCCACCCACCAGATCATACCGGAGAGCCCCGTTGATGCCAGAGTCCATGTCCCTGGCTGCGATGGTGAAGAGGAGGCGAGTGCCAGCGCACGACACGAGTGTTGCATTGGTCACCGCTGCAGCCCCTTGGGTGCTCCTGTTCCCAGGGGCCACCCAGAAGCACCCTGTCTCTGCATTGACCAGGATGGAGAGCATGGCCACGCCTCCCACCAGCACCGGCGCAGTGACAACGGGCGCGTTGTCATTCCGGTCAAGCACAGCCAGCCTGATGGAGACATTGGATGCCAGCTTGGGATGACCACCGTCCTCCGCAGTCACCAGGAACTCCAGGCTCCTCACCTGCTCGTAGTCAAAAGCTTGGAGGGCAAAAACATCCCCAGTGGTGGGGTCAATCGAGACCAGATCTGAAGCCAAGGAGTCCAGGATGCTGTAGGTGATTTTCCCATTGAAACCCAAGTCGGGATCGGTGGCACAGACAGTGAGCAGGAAGACAGGTGCTTCGGTGTTCTCAGCAACGGCAACCTCATAGGTGGCCTTCTCGAAGGAGGGGGCATTGTCGTTGATGTCGCTGATGCAGATAGTGAGGTGTTTCAGCACGGCCAAGGGGAGGTCACCCTGGTCCCGCACCACCAGCGTCAGGTTGTACTCGGCACGCAGCTCCCTGTCGAGCGTGGCGTTGGTCATCAGCACGTAGCTGTGGCTGTTGGTCCTCTTCAGCCTGAAGTGCTCATACCCTTGACTGAGGGAGCAATGCACTTGGCCGTTGCTTCCCGAGTCAGGGTCACTGGCTGTCACCAGAGCCACGAAGCTGTCTTTGGGGAGGGCTTCGGAGAGCACGGGTGCCCGCGCAGCCCAGGTGATGTGGACATCAGGAGCATTGTCGTTGACGTCCAGGACTTTGACCAGGATCTTGCAGTGGGCTGGGATGGGGTTGGCACCCAGGTCCCGGGCTTGCACGTCCAACTCATAGGTGTGGGTTTCCTCATAGTCCAGCGGGTGCTTCAGGATGACGCTGCCTGTGCGGGCATCGATGCCAAAAGCGCTCAGCACCTCCAGGGGCGCGTGCTTGCTCAGGCTGTACTCAATCTCCCCGTTGGGACCCTGGTCGGGGTCGGTGGCCGTGACCGTCACAAGGAGAGTCCCGGGCACAGCGTCCTCCCGAACCTCTACCATCAAAGAGCTCTCTGCAAAGACGGGGCTGTTATCGTTGGAGTCGAGAACGATGACTTTAATTAAAGCGGTACCTGATTTTGGTGGCTCCCCATGATCAGTGGCCGTCAGCACGAGGTCGAAGGAGGAGTGCAGCTCCCGGTCCACTTCTTTAACCACAACAAGCTCCGCGTGCCTCGTACCATCAGAGCTGGAGATGACCTCCAGAGCAAAGTGCTCGCTCCGGGAGAGGGCGTAGGAGCAGCGGGCGTTGGGGCCAGCGTCGGCATCCAGAGCTCGGTCCAGCGGGATCCGCGTCCGCAGGGATGCGCTCTCCGACATCTCCAGCTCCAGCTCAGGCGTGGGGAAGCGTGGTGCGTTGTCGTTGACATCCAGCACTTGAACCTCCACGTGAACGAGAGCCAGGTTTTGGGCAGCCAGCACATCAAATGAGACCCAGCAGGGATCACTGTGCCTGCACAGCTGCTCCCTGTCCACCCGCCCGGCTGTGCTGAGCACTCCGTCCTCACTCCCCACGTGCAGCGGGAACCTCCGGGGGGTCTCCATCAGCTGGAAGGTATCTGCTGTTTCGCCACTCTCACCCCCCTCAAAGTGCTCGGCCAGCATCCCGATCACTGTTCCCGGCGGCACTTCTTCAAACACCCGGTACTGCACCGTGAACGTGGCCACCTCCTGGGCATCGGTGGAGAGGAAGAGGTACCACCACAAGGCTGGGAGATGGAGAGCAGAGCGGCTCAGCAGCAGCATGCTGCTGGTGAAGCCCACCGCCCCGCTGCCCCGGCACGCAGCCGCGGGGTTCCCCGCCTGCCGC